TTCCTTCCTTCCTTCCATATTCTGTTAAAACAGATGTTTCCTTATCTATAGTTAATCACAATGTCTATATCAGTGTTTACATACTGGCTGGGGAATTCTGGGAGTTGAAGTTCACACATCTTAAAGTTGCCAAGGTTGAGAAACACTGCTGTAAAGGGAATGATCAAACTTCTGTTAACTTAAAAAGTGGGGAGGAAAAGGCCTACAACTGAAAGCAAGGAACCTAGACTGAACAAAGGGCTTTGATTTCAGAGTATCACAGTTGACAAGTCTTCAATGTGAACATGGCTTCCTTCTCTGCAGTAAAGACTATAATCTTACACAACCGTATCTGTGAACCCTTGACCAGCAAGCCAATTTCTGAATAAGAACAAGCACCTTTGTTAAGCCTGACATTCATTGTCTTTGAATGCTGCCTGTGTATTTTCTGGACCCACCTGGTTTGTCAATATGTGAAGAAGCATATTGACCTTTGGCCACCAAACAGGGCTTTCTTGCCCAATTACATCAAATATTATCTCATCAACATCCCATCCCATGATCATGTGAACAAGATTATGGACGTTTGCCATAACTTAAGGTTATCTATGTACCATAGGATTCTGCGGTGGAGGCTGCAAGATGGTGGGTGGATGGGTGGGGCTTCAGTTACTACACCGTTGCTGCTATCTTGCAGCTTTTGACCCCCCCTGCAGATACCACGATATATATTGCAATTCTGCTTCAGTATTGAAAAAAAACAGGACCTAGTTTTAGAGACAAAGAGGCATAGCACACATTGTGACTAAATAGGGTTTTAATCCTGGGTCTTCTTACTCCTACGTGAAGATCACAATGGTTTAAAAGATTGGCTTTATGCCCCACACTAAGGCAACATATAGTTTTCTTGTTTTTCTCTTAGCATCTTAGTGAATCTGGCCATTGTTGTTTCTAAACCATGGTTTATAGCTAAGTGTCATGTGGCCTATTGAGCAAATCACACTTTAACCTAATGTATGAACCCACCCTCTCTATACATATGTATGTATGTTTCTGAAGTTCAAATTGTACAGTGTTTAGTCTAATTAATGTCTAAGTTCCTTAAGCCGTGACATTTATTTGCTCTGGTCTTGGCTTACACATGCTGTGAATCCTGACAAGCTTTTGGCTCAATTAATTGTTTGTAGCAATTATAGCAAATATAAACTGTACAAGTCTAAGTGAGTCTTATTTGAAGTAAAGGACTTTATACTTATATTAGGGATTGTGCATGAAGTGCAGGAAATCAAGGCGTGAAACAGAAATAGGAATATATTTGTGATATACTGTATTAGCATCACATCTAGCCACAGCTGGAACAGAAGAGAGCTTCCTGCTTTATATTTTCCCCTGAATAAACCCACGTTTTTAAGGAAAATGCATAACCGAATGTGTTTCAGAGTTAGGGTTACCAGCTATCTGAACAGGCAAAGGAGGACTCGGACAATTGGAAAGGAAGACAAATGGGGGGGAAGGAGGACACGCTAACTGCTTAACTTTCTTTGCCCAGCATCAGAAATACTGGTTTTTCAATTGCAATATTTTTCCAACAAATCTTTATTTTCAAGAACATACTGTACACTAGTGATAATACAGAATCAACAGCAACACATTTTTCAAATTTCATGGGAACGTGTGATCAGTCATGCAATCTCCAGACTCCAGCGATCATAGCTTTGAAGGGGCTACATTGCAGCCAATGGCTGGAATCAGGAAACAGATAACATAAATCTAGGCTGTTGAGTCTGTTGATGGATGAGGGGAAAAAAGAAGCGGGTAATTTGCAAGGTCACAATACACAAAAGTTTGAATGATTACTGCTGCGAAAACAGACCAAAAGTATTCTATTCTCCTTATATCGGTTGAAAAATTTAGCTAGGCACGGTAGGTTGAACCAGATCAGTTGCAAATCTAGCCACTGCATTTCCACAATGGCAAAGCTTGGTTTTGTGTGGGATGTGTGTGTTGTGCAATTCATCCTGTTTGGTTAATTTATGATTTGGGATATGTGAGAACCCAGGAATCATTCAGTAATCAGGTTAAATGTGTTTTGAGGACATACCGTGTGAGTAAACTTTGGACAGAGAATAGCTTAATGACCCTTAGGAAATATTAAAGAAATATCCTCTTTATCATTAACTATAATAGGCTATATACATAGGTGTCCACAGAGGACTCAATGTGTGTGTGTGTGTGGGGGGGGTAATGTGTGTTATGATGTCACGAATCCAATCCTGTGACTTGGGTACTTGCACACAACATTGCAACAATAGTAAAAAAGGTGAAGCTTGTGCTGCAACATTACAATACACATAATTCATGATTAGGAATGGAAGTATATAGTGGCATAATAAACATAAAATATTCAGGGATGAAATATGCCAGTATCACATTGTTATAACTTGTTCGATCACATAGAAAGAATAAAGATCTTCCATCGAGAGTGATGTCAAAATCAAGACAAAATCACAGACATTTTGCCTCATTACACAGCTGTTGTTGTTTTAATACATTCCTACAGGAAGAACTTGGGGTCATTTCTAAATCCCAGCAGCTTGATAAGAATAATGCTGTTGGACTGGTGGTTTCCAACTTGGGTGTCATAGATTCCGCATCCTTCAGAAGCTGATTATGAGTCCGTAAGAAGCGAAGTGAAGTATGTGAAGCCGCTTCTCCAAATGTCAGCATGAACCTCACTTTCTGGCATTATTTTTCTTCATGATTGCCTGTAAAGGAAGCATAGTTGATTAGCTTCCTCTAGCTACAAAAGGTTTCCTTGAAAGATGATGGCCTTGCCCTGATCCTTCTGTCCATGTTCTGATTGTTGCTTACCTCTTTGATTCTCCTGCCCTGCCTCAGATGAATGTTGAGACAACGTCTTCGGCCACCATTTTTGAAAATCACTCTGCACGTAAGCAAAAAGATCAAATTAGCTAAAGGGCTGTTTGATGTGATTAGCATTCACTGTTAATTGACTATCAAAGCAACTGTTGTGAAGCCAACCAACCTGCCTTCACAGGTCTCCAAATTGTCAGCTGCAAACCCAGAACAGCTGACTTCAAGCAGGAAAGACCTAAGGCATAACTGGGAACCCATATACAAAATTTCCATATCCCTCTGGGGGAAAGCTTTGGTTTTTTAAAAATCCAAGCTAGAAATCTGGCTACTGGGGCAGGTAAAGGAGCTAAGATAATTTTGTTCTGATCCTGATTTCAGGATATGATCCACAAGAATCTGAAAAATTCTAGGAGAACCAAGCAGGACTCCTTGGAAGGACTCTTTCTAAGATACAGATATGTGTTTCACCATGGATTTGCAATTAGACATTTGATTGACTTGTTTGAAAGTAAACTATTATGTCTGAGGTTTACTTTTCTCTATGCAAGCTCAGTGATTGCATGGCTTAAATAACTATTTTATAGTCTGCTCAGACCCTCAACTTTTACTATTTATTATATAAATTGAACAAAATAAATAAATTTATCTTTTTTCGCTAGGATATCTGTTTTAAATCACTCCTTGTGTCTTGAGGAAGTCTCTGGTCTCATTTCCTTTGCAGCTGCATGTTTTACATGTGACTATTTAAAGCAACAAAAGGATTTTTTTTTACATTGTCCTGTTTTGTTTTTTTTTAATCTGGTAGTTTGACTTATCTGTTTATTTCTCTCTCAAAGGATAGGGGACTGGTTTTCCTTAACACATGGCTTGTACTACAGGCTTAGGAGGTGGTGTTGTAGAATTGATTTCATTTTTATCTGCTGTATTTTTCTATTATTTGCCAGCAAGAGCATTACCTGTGGGGTTCCTATCTGTCTCACCTGCTGGAGGAGCATGGCAGGTAAAATCATCCCTTTGGGAGGTAGGGAGTGATAGCAAGTACTAAGCAGCTACTCCAGGGGCAGAAAGGTGGGGCTAGGGGTTATAACACCCAGAAGATTCTGAGATCTCCCACCTTTCAACCCTACCAAACAACCCTGTTGCTACCAAATGGAAGAGAATATCTGTAGCTCAGGGTTGAACTGTGGAGTCCTTGGGGTTCTCTGAGCTTGGTTGTTTTCTTGCAAACATTTCGTTACCCGGCTAGGTAATATCTTCAGTACTAGAATGGAGTGGGGTTTGCTCACTCTAGGGGCAGAAAAAGGCACTCTGTGCATAATACTACTTTTGGAGAAAGAGGGAGAGATTCATATATACATACATACAATGACATCAAACTTTGTTTTAACATGGTGATATTGAATATGGAAAATAAGAGTAGGTTCAAGTCCCACAGGTATGTTGTTTTTTTCAAGATACTTTACATCTATATCTACATCTATATGTTTTTTTTTAAATAATAAAAACAATACAAATTTTGAAAGAAAAAAGGAAAATAATGAAAAGTAATAACTGAAAAAAAGTGCAAAGAAAGAAATAGAGAAGGAAAGGAAAGGAAAAGTTATAAAGAAATGGCTTCTGATCTTCTTAATAGCAGTTACAAGTACATTAATATTTTATCCTCTCTAAGGTTACAACATAATTTCCTTCTTTCCATAGTCTACCATTTCTAATGATCAATCACAAGTTCTTTTTTTTTCTTTTTTCAGCAAAAAGTCCATAAGGGGTTTCCAGTCACTAATAAATGTAGTTATTGTCCCTTTTCTAATCAAACAAGTCAATATTGCCATCTCTGCTAATTCTGTCATCTTCACCAGCCATTCCTCTGTGCTGGGCTTTTTTCAAGATACCTTTTGAGGTATTTTGGTTTGTACAAACCATCACAAACTCTCTCTCTCTCTCTTTTCCTCACTGTAGGCCAGCATGGAAAGCATTTACTTCCATACATTTCAGCAGGTTTAAGCCAGGTCTGAAATTCCCCCACTTTTTTTGTCCTCCATGAATCTCAAGCATACTTTTTCCTACTCTCAGAAAAACAAAAGTTGTCTGCTTAAGAAAATCTATGTTCCCCCCTCCCTTACCCATTTTGGGACACCTTGAATGTTGCTCATTCTGGTGGTATCTTGATAGTGGAACAGCTTTGAGTTGGTATGGGCTGTTTAGACCTGGAGGTAAATACTTCAAATTTTTGCTGGGCATTGATGTTATCACCAGATAAGAAGAGAATGGTATAAACTGAAGAGCATAAGATAGAGATCTCTAGGGCTGAAAATAAAGAGGGATCCAGCAGGCTGAAATGGGTGTGTGTATGCTGGAATATGCTTTCCATCGTGATGCAAAGTATGGAGAAAAGAGAGAGACGGTGATAGTTTTAGGATGTTTTGCCCAAACCAAAGCATCTTGCTTTTTTCAACAAGCCAGCTTTGCCCCTGACATCACATGAACACCAGGTTAAGATCAGCCACAGAGGCTGAACTAAAACGCCATGTGCCAGGTCTCTAATATGCATACTTTCCCCCATCTTTATGAGCAGGATGGGGTGTGCAGGCAGGGGGGAAAAGGCAACCCAACAATTCCACGGAAATAGGACCGTGTGGCCAGTTATAGCAATTCAATAGCCTCAACAGGAGAAGACATCGGGGCTCTGCTCGACTACTTACAGCAGCTCCTCTTGACCACAGCTGCCGGTTGACTTGTGGTACTGAACTGTAGCCACAAGCTCCATGTTCACAGAAGGGAATTGTCTTCTGCATAAACAGCGTTCCCTGATGGAGGTTGGCATTCCTGCAAGGGATCATATAGAGAAGGCAGTTATTCACATATCATTCACAATTGCCTAATGCACTGTTTCTCAACCTCAGCAACTTTAAGATGAGTGGAGTTCAACTCCCAGAATTCCTCAGCAAGAAAACACAAGGCAAGTTTTGCTTGGCTGTAGGGGCATTTGTGGGTGTGCACGTGCAAAATGCATGCCCTATTTTACTTAATTGCAATGACTCCATCCCTTTTTTCTAAGGCATGCAAGGTGACACACATGCTTCTTCTCACTCTCACAACAGTCCTGTGAAGTAGGTTATGCTGAGAGAAAGAAAGGCAGAATTAGAACTCACAGTCTCCCAGTGGCTAGCCTGGTATCTTAACCGCTACACCAAACTGGCTGTCAGAGAAAGGAATGAGATCTTCCAAGTCCTAGCTTGACCTCTATGCCAGGCTTCTCCATCTGGTGCCCTCCAATCTGTTGGATTATAACCTCCATGCTCCATCACCCCAGGCAGCATGAATGAATATGATTGAATTGCTGTCCATAATATCTGGAGGACCTTGGATCTGCTCTGCTTTTTTCATAAGGAAATGCAAGAGAGGCCCAGCTGGATTATACCTAGTGGTTCTGGTCACCCAACACATATAACCTGCTCTGCTAAAGATGTTCCTCTAAATAGATTGCAGTTTTAGACTCACTTCCCTAGGAATAAGCTTCACTGATCTCAGCTGAGACTCCCAACATTATTGGTGTCACCTCAGGACTACCTGATCTAGGTTGCAAAGATCCAAAGAACCTCCAGATGGCATCAAGCCCTCAGATATTTCTTCATCTGCTTGCTGCAGTCCCAGTTTTTGTAGCAAACATCTGGAAGTTGCACTGACACCAGGATGAAAGTTAGGCAGGCAGAGGGGCAGCATTTGCTGACTTGACACCCAGACCCAGACCCAGACCCATTCTGCACCAGTAAAGCATCCAGGCTGTGGATGGCTATGACAGTTGTCGGTAGAGAAAGCACAGGGTTCTGAGATCTAGGTGGGATAGGAAAAGGATTTTTTTCACATAGGTTGCTGATCGAAGTCATAATATAGTTTGATTTTTCTTGACTATAATGCACAAATACTCAGCCATTGCGATGCTATCACCTCCCCTATAAGATAGATAGATGGTAGATGCAGGTAGGTAGGTACGTAGATAGATAGATAGACAGACAGACATGGATGGATGGATGGATGGATTAGATAGATAGATAGATAGATAGATAGATAGATAGAT